CGGAAAGCACGGGAGATCACTTCGCCCACTGCCTCATCGCCTTTGAAAATGTCCACCGCAGTTGTGGACGAAACGTCAGGAAGAAATTCCGATAGGCCACGGCTTCAAAGCCCGGAAAACATTTCCAAATGTAATCTGACCGGCCGTGAAAGCCTTCATACACTTGACCTTTTTGCAATTTGCCTCGACAAATTTCACAGAAGATTGCAATTTTGGACAAAACCACCATTATCCCCAAACTTGGAATGATCAAGCCTTAAAAGGGTACTCGAATGTTCAGCCAGACACACCTCTTTACTATGCGGAAGAAGCCACAAACACTGCTAAATAAACCATGTTAAACAGAATTGAAACCCTAAAAAAATGTCCAAAACATTGGTCGATTTTATTAACAATAAACCGTTAACTTTTCTAAAATGTACGAAATTCTATGCATCTCATACTCAACGAACTAACAACGAACAACATGAGTCCGAGAATTTAATATTCTTTTTAGTCTGCAGTTGATAACCGTATTCTTTTAGCCTAACAATAAGCCATTGTTTAAATATAAAATATAAAGGCGATTGAATACAGATTTGACTGACGATTTGAATAGATAAGAGAGAATAAACCACATTGTTTATAAATTCAATAGATAGTTAAATAGACGCATGGTTTCATTGTTAACTATATTATACGAGTTGGAATGATATTATTTTCACTAAAAGTAAATCTAATTTTAATCTTGCACGCATAAAGATTTGATAAAGATTTGATAATAAACTTTATTTTACATTAGTTGATTTTAATTAGCCTTATTGTTGCCCAGTTGATTTGTTGTTATTAATTAGCCCAGTTGATTCGCCCACTTAATTATTACTTATTAATTAGCCCACTTAATTATTACTCAAATATTGTGGTATTAATTTACTTTGAATTCATTTTTCTTTCTTTTAGGCTCTTATGAAACAGTTACTGTTTTTCTCAACCGCTTTGAAAAATTCCTGACTTTATAAGTACCGATTACCATAAAATAGTTTGTTAATGATCTTGAAGAATTTATGATTCACAATTTGATAGTCAAACTGGTTATTTGTCTACGAGTCTAAACGAATAGAAGCATCCAAATAGCCATACACAAACCATTTCGATAAATATTCATATCTTACTCATTAGAATATTTTCCTGTAAGTGAACTGAATTAAAAACTTAGTAAACAATAAAACTTTTTTTAAAATTATTAAATATTGACCACATTTTGTGACTTTTATCCGGAGATCCATGTGTATTTAGTCTATAAGAGTTTAAACTACACTAAACGAGATTAAAGCATAATAGACACATTTTAATCTTGTATTTTACCCATCATAATATTAAATGCTTTTTCGAGTTGTAAACATACAGCTGTGGACAATGACCGTTTATCAGTTACTTATCAAATATCCTTGTTAACTTCCTGGACACAAAATGCATGTAAATTGCCAATTATAAAGTTCAATGAAATATTTTAGATAGATATTCGGCATTGGCAAAAGTGAGTCTAACCGAATAGTAACTTTGAGGAGATTTACAATTGAATATATTTAAAATTAGCATTTTTTCCATTAACCGGCACTAATGGAGTATCACTTTGGTAAGTAATAAATCGAAGGTGAACTTACATCCAAAAAGAGCACTAAGGTCACGCCAGTTTAGTTCCTCGTAGCACATCTTTACTAAAAACAATTTATCTATGACTAGTAGATAATTAAAATCGGCGTTTATAACGTTTTTCCTTGTATGCAGTTATCGGAAATGGTTTTTTATATGAATTGTTTTTTGAGGATGTTTATTTAAATTTTCAATTCAACCTACAGAGTTAACTGATTCGTTGCCTCACTCAAAACTTTTGATTTATTCTTCACTAATATATAATAATAATTAATAAAAACTAAAAAAAATAATTAAAAGGGTTCCTTCTGAATTCGTATATGTAAGAAACAATTCTAAAGTTAGTAAAAGCCTTCTACATTCAATTTATGTAATGTAAAACTTACAATGAGAAACTTTCTACTAATGCATACCATTTATCTGATGTGATAAAGGTTAGGGTGTGTAAACTTTACTGTTATCCAATTTAACACGTCACTTGATAGCAGATTTAAGAATATTAATGTCCTAACTGTAATAATTTACTTAATGTTATTGTGTAATAGATGTAAACATCAATATCCATCAAACGTTTTATTTTTGATTTACTAATGTATGTACATATGTAAGTATCTTTAATAAATTGTTATTATTGGATGTAATTATGGAACGCAATTTTATTTAAATTAGTCTTTTAACTAAATTAATTAACAGTAGAAGAGAGGAAAATGAGAGCAAGTAGTGGAAAAAGTCTTAACTGT